CTCTCCCCCCCCCCCCTTCTCTGGTCAAATTAAAATTAATTAATTAATTAATTTTTAAAATAATTTCTTTAAAAAAAAAAAAGAAAAGAAAATGGACCAGCAGGTGGCATGGAGGTTGAGGCACTGAATCCCATATGGCTGACTTCATGATTTGAGTCCTGGATCTGGCAGCTTGAAAATCATGCCAGGTGTGTGTGCGTGTGTGCCCAAGATCCCAAGAGATAGAGGAGAAGGGATTATGGTGTGGCCGTTCCCCCTGGGAAGGATGATTTCTCATTTCTCTCTCTCTCACTGGTGAGCACACATGCCCTATAACGAAAACTTAAAAAAAAAGAATAAGTCAAATAGGCAAACAAAACATTGACCTGACAAAAAACCAAAGATATACAGGATATATTAAAAATTTCTCGGGGGACCAGCAGGTAGCGTAATGGCTATGTCGCTGGACTCCCACATAATTGACCGCGGTTCGTGTCCCGGACCCGGTGGCTTAAACTCACACTGGGCGCGTGTGCGTGCATGCCCAAGATCTTGAGAGGAGAACGGAGGAGAAGGGATTGCTGCGTGGCCATCCCCCCTGGGGGGTGATTTCTCGCTTTCTGTCTCTCTCTCTCTCTCTGGCGAGTGCACACGCCCTATAGCAAAAACTTCTAAAAAAATTTTCTCTAACACAGTAATAAAAAACAACCAATGAAAGCAACCTAATGAATAAACAATGACCACATGAAAAGTGCTCAACATTTTTTTTTTAATTTGCCATATGGCCAATGCATGCACCAGAGAGAGACAGAAAGGAGGGGTAAAGAGAAAGTACCTCTCAGGGAGGATGACCATGACATAGTTTCTTCTCCTTCATTATCTTGAGATTTGGGGCATGTATATACACAGCGAACATGTCAACATTTTTACTAATGAAGAAAATACAAATTAAAGGACCAGCAGTGAGTGTAATGGCTATGTCACTGGACTCTCATGTAGTCGACCTTGGTTCAAGTCCCAGACCCGGTGACTTAAACTCACGCCGGCACGTGTATGTATGTGTGCCCAAGATCCTGAGAGGAGAATGGAGGAGAAGGGATTTTGGCATGGCCATACCCTGGGGGTGGGGTGGGGTGGTGATTTCTCGCTTTCTGTTTCTCTGTCTCTCTCTTTCTGGCGAGAGGATGTACACTATTAGCAAAAACCTCTCCAAACAAACAAATTAAAACCACGGTGCAATATCTCTTTATAGCCATCAAAATGATTGAACTTTGTAAAATCAACAATAGCAAATGATAGTGGGAATGTAGAGCAATGGGAATGCTCGTTCATTGTTGGTGGGAATGTAAAATGCACTATCAATTCAAACAACGTGTAGCACTTCTAAAACTAAAAATGTATCTGCCCTATGAGCCAGTGATTCTACTCATTGGATTAGACTTGTTATGGTACTTAATTTTCTAAGAGAAATGAAAACACACGTTCACGTAGACTTGAACACAGAATGTTCATAGTGGTTTTCTTCCTAATAACCCATCATTTTTGGCATTCATCATTTTAAAAAAAATTATTTATTTATTGTAATTTGACCAAAGAGGGACAGAGTGAAAGAGAGAGGGAAAGTGAGAAATTAGCCACCAGGTCCAGGACTTGAACCATGGACAGCCATGTGGGACTCCAGCACCCTCAATCACCATGCCACCTGCCAGCCCTGGTATTCAACATTTTTCAAAAAGATAAACTGTGAGGACCAGCAGTAGCATAATGGCTATGTTGTTGTACTCCCATGTAGTCGACTGCAGTTCAAGTTCCGGACCTGATGGCTTAAACTCATGCCGGGCGCATGTGTGTGCGTGCCCAAGATCGGGAGAGGAGAATGGAGGAGAAGGGATTGCGGCATGGTCATCCCCCCTGAAGATGATTTCTCGCTTTCTGTCTCTCTGTCTCTCTCTGTCTTTCTGGTGAGCGCATGCGCCCTATAGCAAAAACCTCCCCCCCAAAAAAGAAAAAAAGATAAACTGTGGTATATCTCTACAATGAGATACTCTCAGCAATAAAAATGAACAAATTATGAATATACTCCACAACATGGCTGAATCTCAAAGCATATTGTCTCAAAGAAGCCAGGGCCAGCCCATGGCAACGGTGGTTAAGGCAAGCAGATCCCACGTGGTTGACCACCCAGTTCCACCCCAGATACATGTACGTGCTTGCCTAAAACCTTGATAGGAGGGAGAGGTAGAGAAGAGATTGCTGCATGACTGTGCTTCACGGAGGGGTGCTTTCTCACTTTCCCTCTCACTCCGTACCTCTCTGATGAGTGGATGCCATCCTTTGGCAAAAACACATAACAAAGTCAAAAAGAATCAGCCAAAAGTAAAAGTACTTCCCAAGACCAGCAGATGGCGTAGTGGTTAGGTCCCTGGACTTCCATATGGCTGCGCAGTTCAAGTCCTGGAACCAACGGCTTGAAAATCCCCCTGGGCATGTGTGCATTCATATCTAAGGTCCCGGGAGGAGAATGGAGGAGAAGGAATTGTGGCATGCTCACCCTCTTGGGCAGTGATTTCTCACTTTTCCTCTTACTGTCTGTCTGTCTGTCTCTCTCTCTGGCAAGTGCATGCACACTAAAGCAAAAACCTCTTAAAAAATAAAAAGTATTTCCCATATTGCTCCACTTACATGAATTCTAAAAATACAGGTACAGCAGCTTCCACTGTGGAATGTGGTGAGGTTAATGATCTATGTTTTGATTAAAGTTTGGGTGTCACACAGCAACTACATGGTAGGGCAGAGATTTGAACCCACATGGTCTGGCCCCAGAGGCTGTTTTTTGTTTTGTTTTGTTTTGAGAGAGATTTTTGCTATAGGGTGTGCGTGCTTTCTGGAGAGACCCAGAGTGACAGAGGGACAGATATGGCTTATTACCTGTTGATGATGACATGTATAGTATTCTCAACTGGATTAGTCTGAGAAATATTTCATGATGGGTTAAGTCTTTTTACAAGCAAAATGAGAAATAGCAATTGACTGTTTTAAAAATAATTAGAATATTTATAATAATAGTTGGGAAAATCATAGAAAAGATATTGAATGTTGAAGCGGGGAGATTAATGTCTCTGTATTGACTGACATGCATGGCATTCCCTTTTGAAAAAGCAATGTAGGGAACCAGCAGTTAGCGTAATGGCTATGTCGCTGGACTCCCACGTAGTCAACCGCGGTTCGCATCCCGGACCCGGTGGCTTAAAACTCATGCCGGGCGCGTGTGCGTGCGTGCCCAAGACCCCGAGAGGAGAATGGAGGAGAAGGGATTGCAGCGTGACCATCCCCCCTGGGGAGTGATTTCTCGCTTTCTGTCTCTATGTCTCTGTCTGTCTGGCGAGCGCATGCGTCCTATAGCAAAAACCTCTCAAAAAAAAAAAAAAAAGCAATGTAATACACTGTAAAGTTATATGTAATCCCATGTAATATAAAGAAGATTATGATGATAATAAAAATAAAATAAAATAAATAAATAAATAAATAAAAAGAACGTGAAAAATCACCCCACAGGGGATAGCCACACCACAATCTTTTCTCCTCCATTCTCCTTTTGGGATTTTTGGGCATGCATGCACATATACCTGGAGTGAGTTTCAAGCTGCTGGATCTGAGGCTCGAACCTCAGTCAACCACATGGGTGTCTGGCACCTTAACCACTATACCACCTGCTACCCCACAGAGGCTGTGGTTTTAACAACCATACAACATTGCCTTGCCTAGAATGTGGAGTCTCAGATGAGCTCACACAAGGAGAGTGATCTGTGAAGACAGAAGACTTGAGAAGGAGCACTCAGAGAGGTAGGAGGAAGACCCAGCAAGAGAACATAAAACCCAGCGCTCACTCAAGAAGGGCTAAGAGCATTGAGTATTACTGAGAGGTCCAGCAAGACAAGAATGGGGTGTGCACTGTTTTTGGCACCTACAAGGGCGTGTGTGACTGGGTCCTGAACGGTTTTAACTGAATGGGGGACGGGGCCCGCAGCCAGCTGACAGTGTATTAGGAGGTGAGAAAAGGAAGACAGTGAATGTAAATAACTTTCCCAAAAACCTTGGCTGCATGGGGAAGAGAGAAAAAGGCAAGACCATTATTAGAGGGCTGGACTATCCTTGCAGAGGCTTAGTCTTGACCACAGCTGGCTCCATCTAGAGAAACTTGACTTCACCCACCCACCAGGGTAGCTACTTGTCCTGTGGTGTGAAGGCCTGTTGGCCACAGTAAGCCTCTGACAGTCCCAGTGCTCCATTTGGAGCCTCGGGATCAGCTGACACCACAGTTGCTCACATTCTGTCATCCTTGGCAGTTTGGGATGGGCATCCGCCCTTCCCCACTGAGCTCGGCGCTTCCTCTTCCTAACCACCCTTGCACTGCTCCCCACACCACTGGGCAAAGCCCAGGGCTATCTGCAGCCCACACTGTCCCTGCCCATCTTTGCTTGCCTGAAACCCAGCTCTTCCCTGAGGACACCCTTATTTTAATGAGATATCACTTATTCTGTGAAGAGCTCAAAGTGAGTGGTGGTGGGAGTGGGGCAAGCAACCTGCTCTGGGCTCTCCACTTCCTACGTGCAGTGTGGGCTCACCAGGGTCTCAGGGGTGCATTTAGCAGCAAACAACAGAAGACCAGTTAAAGTAGATTGAGCAGTGGGGAGTTCTGAAGCAGGGTGATTTACCAAGGGCTGTCCACCTCTTCACACTGATTTGCTGTCCTCAGTGGCTGGGAGTATCTCCCCTTACAGCTGCAAAATGGAATCTGCCCTCATACGTGGAATGGCACTGAAGGAGAGCAAACCTTTCCCCAGGAGCCCCTGTTAGTGAGGTTTTATGTCACTTCGGTTCCTACTGAAAAGATTTGTCCTATTGGCCCAGATTGGGTCACTGGCCAGGGGCATGGAAATACCGTAACTGACTAGATCACTTCGATTCATGCCCCAAGCACTGGGAGGGGAACACCTGTAGAAAACTCAGACTTCGCTAGGAGGCAGAAGGGCTCGGTGGCTGCCCCGTAGTCACATAAAATTTCTCTCTCTTTCAGGGCCAGCTATTTCACTCTCCATTGAGAAGACGCACAACCTCCTGCTCAAGGGCAATAGAGCTGGCACTAGACCAAATGAAATCAAATCTTGGTCTTTTCACTTTGGTCCTGGGCAAGGTACCCAAGGTTTCTAAGCTATAGTTTTCTTACCTGTAAGATGAAAACTCTCAGCCCGATCCAATACAATTTTCTGCGATGAAGGGAGTGTCCCACGCCTGTGCCAGTATAGTAGCCAGTCGCCATCCATATGTGACATGTGGCTAGTGTATCTGAGGAATGAAAACTTTTAAATAAAATTAAATGGCTACAGGGCTAACTCATGGCATGGTGGTTGGAGTGACTGGATCCCACATGGCAGACCAGTGACTTGAGAGACATGCTGGACATAAGTATGTGCATGCCCAAAATCCCACAAGGAGGGAGAAGTGGAGGAGAAGGGATTGCAGCATGACCCTTCTTCGTTGGGGGCAAGGGGACTGCTTTCTCACTTTCCTTTTCTCTCTCCGTCTCTCTCTAGCACTTGCACACACCCTCTGGTAAAATTTTAAAAATTAAATAGCAGTCGAGGGCCAGCAGGTGGCATGGTAGTTGGGGTGTTGGACTCCCACATGGCCAGCCACGGTTCAAGTCCCAGACCTGGCAGCTTGCTTTCTCACTTTCTCTGTCTTTCTTTCTCTCTCTCTCTGGTGAGTGAATGTGTCCTGTAGCAAATTAAAAAACCAACAATAATTAAATTGCAGAGCAGCAGGTGGTGCTGTAGTTAAAGGCGCTGGACTCCTACTCGGCTGACTGTGGTTCAAGTCCTGGAGCTGGCGGCTTGCTTTCTCACTGTCCTCTCTCTCTCATTCTGTCCTTTTTGGTCAAATTAAAGTAAACAAATAATAAATAAAGTGAAATAAAATAATTCTTAAATGAAATTAAATTGCAGGAACAGCCTGTGGTGTGGCGATTAAGGCACTGGATTCCCACATGGCTGACTGCAGTTTGAGTCCTGGACCTGGCAGCTTGCTTTCTCACCACCTCCATCTCTCTCTGGTGAAATTAAAATGATAATAAATAAAATGACATGAAATAATTGTATTTTAAGAAAAATTATTTTAATTTTTTTATTATTATTTTCCAATTTGACAGGAGAGAGACAGAGAGAGATAGGGAAAGTGAGAAAGCAAGCTGCCAGGTCCAGGACTCAAACTGCAGTCAGCCATGTGGGAATCCAGCATCTTTAACCACCACACCACCTCCCAGCCTCTAAATAAAATAATTCTTGGGGCTGGCAGGTGGCGTGGTGGTTAAGGTGGCTAGACTCCCACATGGCTGACTGTGATTCGAGTCCTGGACCTGGCAGCTTGCCCTCTCACTTTCCTTCTCTCTCTCTGTCTTTCTCTGGTCAACTTCAAGAAAAAAGAAATAATGACAATGAATAAAATGAAATAAAATAATTCTTTAAAAAATAACTCTTTAAAAAATTAAATAGCTACATAGGGTTAGTGGTTACCATATTGGGCACACAGTTCTGTGTCAGTATTACTGTAGGATAGAATGTACAGTGCTGAAAGTTTTTAAGCATGGCACCTCACTCAATGTTAGTTCTTATTATTTTTGCTGTTATCCAGTGATGTTCTGGTCACTTGACCACATTAATTGAAGACTTTGGCACCTGACTCACTGTCCTCCCTTCCACTTCGGGTCTTCTGCGAAACAAAATGGCTTCCATGATCATGCACGTGGTCCTGTCTGCACCCTGGCCTCTTTCTGCTCAGCTCCAATGACTCATCCCCACGTCACCTTAGCCACTCTTCACCAGAGCCAGGACAGCACCACACCCTCCACGGAGAGCTGGGCTGAAAGCTCATTTCCTAGTCTCTGATTTCTCCTTCTTAGCCCTCCAGTGTTTTGTTGTTTTTTTCCCCGTTCTTTGACCCCTTTCTGTGTCCACTGGCTCCTCATGTCACTTTTCCCCTAACCAGCCTTGGTTCCCTAGTGTTTTACCTGTACTCTTCAGTCTTACTCTTCACTCTCTGTTGTCTCTAATCTTCTAAACTGGCCTCCCAGCTTCAGACTTAGCCTTGAAATCTATGGTCCACGTGGGAGTCCAGCAACATAGCCATTACGCTAACTGCTGGTCCCAATAACCCCTACTTTTCAATTCAGGCTTAACTTCCTCCAGGCAGCCTTCCCTGATCTCTCCTATCCCTTGCCTAGTTTACCTGCCTCTCCTTTGTGCTCCTGTGGTGCCCTGGGCTCACTGGAATTGTGGCCCCGATTATCTTGGAGTATTGTACAATCATCTGTTACCTAGTCTGACTTCACCTCTCAGCTGTAAGCACCTGAGGATACACTGACATATTGGTCGAATTAAATGGAATAGGTGCTGGTGGATTTGGTTTAGTTTGTTTGATAAAAGTTTTATTTTACTTTCCTATAGATGGGAGGGATTTGAGCATGTTTATATACTGCGAGTTTAGAGCTATAATAATTAGAGAACGGGGCCAGCAGGCAGCATGGTGGTTGAAGGTGCTGGATTACCACATGACTGATCATGGTTTGGGCCCCAGACCTGGTGGCTTGCTTTCTCACTCTGTCTCTCTCTCTCTCTGTCTCTCTCCCTCTCTCTCTCTTGCTCTGTCCCTCTCTGATCAAATTTAAATAAATAAATAAATAAAGTTAAATGAAATAATTCCTTAAAAAATAATTAGAGAGCAAGAGCTTAGAGATTTGGGGGACAGAGGGGATAAAAACGGAACAAATACCTGAGCCTGGGTGGAAGGACACCCTGAGCAATGGCGGGAACAGACACTCTCTCCTGAGCCTGCAGGTGTCAGAGGCATATGTCTTTTGGGAGAGCACAGGCAGGAAATTGGGGGTGTTTCCAACTGATGGTCTGTTTCCTCTAGTCCAAGTGGTGAATTGGTATCAAGGTGGATGAAATTTACGAAAGATGATGAGAGCCTGGGATACAAAGCTGGCTAGGGACTCTAGCAGCTTCCCACATGTAGGTTTCTTCCTGCTGTCCCTCAGTCCTCAGCATATCCCAGGCCACTACCCAGAGCTTCTGGCCTATCTGTGAAATGCGCTGAGCTGCAGCAATCAATGCATCAATATGTTCCATCCATAATATAAGAGATAGTGTGTAAAAGACTTTAGCCCGGTGTCAGGAGCATTAGAAACAAAATAATGAGGGGACCAGCAGGTGACGTAGTGATTAAGGTGCTGGACACTTCCACATGGCTGACCACGGTTTGAGTCCCAGACCTGGCAGCTTGCTCTCTCACTCCCATTCCCAACAAATTAAAATAAATGAATTAATAAATAAAATTAAATAATTAAAAAAAAGAAACAAAATAAAGAAAAAGCAATGCAGAGTGGTATGTGGTGGTCACTAACAACTGTATGTTGCTTTTTTTTCCTTTTTTTTTTTTTTTTTTTGCTATAGGGTGCATGCGCTTGCAGGAGAGACAGAAAGCAAGAAGTCACACCCAGGGAGCAAGTTATTTCCTTTGTATGAGCGAGAGAGTGTGACATCCTGGACAGGGTCCTTGTGCAACAAGGGTCCTTGTGCAACAAGGGTCCTTGTGCAATAAGCCTTGTCCTGCAGCTGGCCAGGATCCCAGGAAGGCCCGAGAAGCACACTGGACATGTAGGGGCAGACCCAGGCTGCGAACCCTCAGCCTTCCCACCTGGTCTCCAGCATCACATACCTCACTGTGGCCAGGCTGATGCTTTGTTTTTTGAACATAACCCACACTAAAAAGTATAATTTACATCATAAGAATTTAGACACATATATAAAACAGAAGTTTTGTTAAACGGTTCTTAACCCTTAATTTGCATGATCTGGTCTCTTCTACTCTATTTTACTTTATTTAAAAAGAATGATAGTGGGTCTGTTGGTGGCAAGGTAGTGGTTAAGGTGGCTAGATCTCACATGACTCAGTGAGGTTCAAGTCTCAGGCCCAGTGGTTGGGAAAACACACAAGGCACATGTGCATGTGTGCCCGAAATCCCGAGAGGAGAAAGGGGGGAGAAGAGATTGCAATGGGGCTACCCACAGGGGGTGCTTCCTCACTATCCCTCTCTCTGTCTCTCTCCAGGGAGTTTATATGTCTATAGCAAACTAAAAAAAGAGAGAGAGAGTGAAGACATTGTTATTGACTGAACTGTGCTCCTCAGAAATTCATATATTGGGATTGAGGCCGGCTCTGGATCCCAAATGTCTGACTCTGCAGTTAGAGTTCTGAAATTGGCTTGAGGAACATTCTGGGTTTCTGTGTGTGTGTGTGCCCAGAATCCTGAAAGGAGGGAGAGATGGAGAAGGTGTTGCACCTTTCCCCACTGGAGAAATGCTCTCTCTCTGTCTCTCTAGCAAGCATATGCTCCCTTTGGCAATTTTAAAAAAAGAATTACTTGTTTAATTTTATTTATTATTATTCTTCAATTTGACCAGAGAGAAACAGAAACAGAGAGAGTGAGGAAGCAAGCTGCCAGTTTTGGGACTCGAACCACGGTTGGCCATGTGGGAGTCCAGTGCCCCAACCACCATGGCACCTGCTGGCCCCTCTAGCAATTAAAAAAAATTCATTATGCCAACCAGCAGATGGCAAAATGGTTACTTCGCTGGAGTCCCATGTAGTGGGCGCAACTGCAATTCAAGTCCCGGATCTGGTAGCTTAAACTCATAAGGGGCACATGTGCGTGTGTGCCCAGAATCCCAAGAGGAGAATGAAAGAGAAGGTATTGTGACATGGCCATCTCCCTGGGGGATGAGTTCTTCCTTTTTGTCTTCCTGTCTCTCTCTGTCTCTCCAGTGAGTACACGCACCCAATAGCAAAAACCTCTCTCAAAAAAAAATTTGTATGTTGATGTTCTGATCCCCAGTATCTCAGAATGGGAACCTATTTCAAGGTTGGGTCTTTATAGAGCTTTTTCTTTTCCTTTTTCTTTCTTTCTTTCTTTTTTTTTTTTTTTTTTTTTTTTTTTTTTTTTTTTTTTTTACGGTG